TTAATGTCTGATGAAAACCTTTCAAAGCTTTCTAGGTACTCTATTAGTTATGATGCCACTAATACAATTATTGCAACACTGCACAAATGAACAAGGCGCGCAAGTATGAAACACTAGTATTATTGGCGTGCCAACCCACAATGCAATTCGTTTCGATCCCATAATGCACCAGCCATACTGAAAGCAGTAGCGATTAGCGAATTGTTCATTTGAGTCGGATCTTTTCAATGATTCAGTCGAACCGGTTCACAAAACCTGATTCGTTCCAAACGGTTCTCGAGTGAACAGCTCTTACTACTAACTAAGCATACTAATATCAATATATTGTGAAGTTGTGGATTAAATATATATGTGCGTTAGTATTAGATTTGTAGGGTTACATTTTTTAAATTTTACTTTGACGATAAATAAAATAATAAAAATAAACTATTAACTATATTATTTGAAATATTTCTTGTATAACGTTAGTTCTGTCTGTCTTTCGTTTGTTTGAAACACATAATGACCCTTTTGTAGATTATGTAAATTTTTAGGGATTTTTTCCTACATTTTTAACAGTTTATGTTGCAATGTGTTATATAATCTATCAGTTCAAAACGCTTTTAATCAGATGTGAATGTTTTTCACACATAAATAATGATTACACATTAGTTATGTTTATTTATATAGAAATAAACATTTCTATATATAGTTATAGACATAGTTATATAATAATAATAATAATAATAAGAAGAAGATTGTTAAAGCAGCTTTACAGTAGTAATCAGAATATATATACATACATACATACATATATAGAAATTTTGTTGCTAAATTTAGCAACTTTTTTTAGACTACCCTAGCAGCTTTTTCTTCCAAAAGCACCTAGCAACAAATTTAGCTATTTTTACATTTTAATTTGCCTACTTTTAGCAACTTTTGATAAGTGACTCAAACAATAAAAAGGCACACATTTTCCACTAAATATAGTTATAGACATAGTTATATAATAATAATAATAAGAAGAAGAAGATTGTTAAAGCAGCTTTACAGTAGTAATCAGAATATATATACATACATACATACATATATAGAAATGTTGTTGCTAAATTTAGCAACTTTTTTTAGACTACCCTAGCAGCTTTTTCTTCCAAAAGCACCTAGCAACAAATTTAGCTATTTTTACATTTTAATTTGCCTACTTTTAGCAACTTTTGATAAGTGACTCAAACAATAAAAAGGCACACATTTTCCATCTAAATTTCACAAAAAGAGGAAACCAAAGTTACCTAGCAGTACACACCTCACATGAATTAAGTTATTGCTATTTGCGATTGTTCAATTTGATAATAATAATAATAGCTTAATAACTGTTCATCTATGATACACCTTGTTAGTAGCTTGTACCTGCGATTGTTGATCAGTTAGTCCACTATAAGAAAAATATCTAGAAAAAAAATTGAAAAGGTACTAGTAATTTTCCAGGACATTATCTGTTATCCATTATCCGTTGTAACCCTGTAACCCGAAAACACAGAATACAATGCTTAATTTAAAATGCAGGTAAAAACAACAACAACAAAAAAAAAAAACTGTGAATTACCATAGTAGATTGTGACCTATTTCTTACAGACTTTTCTTAGAGTGTAGCATACTAACTACTAATACACTGCTTAAAACTAGAATTGTTCAGAATGTGTAGTTTTACTAGTTAACTAGCTAATAAAACTTAAATTGTAATCGTTCAAAAATGTGTAAATGTCCAATAATTCAATGTTGTTTAAAAATAGTTATTTCTATTTTTATATTATATTATGCATTTATATTATTTTTACGAACAAATCTAAATTAAACATATACAAATATATATTTTTTGCTGAGATTTGATGTAGTGACAATTTTGCGTCGGGATTACGTCATGACGTCATCGCGCAATGACATCACAACACCATTTAGCAACTTATAGCAACAAACCGACCGTCTTTTAGCAACTTTCCCTGAAAATTAGTTGGCAACACTTGACTGGATCCTCTCATTAAAGCCGTGAATCCTGTAGATGGCAGGATCAGAGACCGGACAATTATAAACTCATAAAATAACTTATTCTCAATCCCAACGTTCAGTGTTCTTTGCCAGTTTGTTTTAATATTTGTATGACCTCAGATATGTTGGCAGCAGCCTACAACCAACCTGGGTGTCTCGGTGCAGGATTCGGTGGTCATTTGTGATGCTTTTGTCTCCGGGTAAGAAGATTATTTTCTCCCCAAATTGTATCTACATTTGGCAAAATAGAATGTTACTGTTATGCAAATGTGTGTTAGTCGAGAACAGCCTTAAGTAATACGATGATTAAACGTTATCAATTACACACTCGTACAAATATGCAAGATTGAATAGCGATACTAAGCCTACCCACAACGCTAACACTAAATCACTGGTCTCCAAGTCAACAAAGTAGCATATGTATTAACCATCATTGTTAGAATTTAAATGCTCCAGTTTTATTTAAAATGAGCTGTCAAAAGGCTCTTTAAATATGCCGCGTGATTTCAGAACTACGTCATGACGTAAGGAATCACTGAAACCGTTTCTTTGAAACGAACTGTTCGAAAGAACCGATTTCATGTTCCAATTAACAATCTCTAGGAATAAAAAACGAGTCAGACAGCTATATGACACGCGTAGAGACGTTAAAATATGTTCATATTAAATGCTAAAATCACAGGTTGTCCTGTTGTACAAAAAAGGTTCCCTGCAATGGAGTTTAAACTATAGAAGAACACTGCTCATTGCTTACATATTAAATACATTTTTGTCGTATACCTAGTAATCAAACTGTATTTGTATATATTGTAACGGCAGATTTACATAGAACGCTGTGAGTCAATACATTCTTGAATGTAAACATAGGGCTCGTCCGGGATTTGAATCAGGTGTAGTGCCGAAATGCACCCGAAGCGAGAATCATACCCCAGACCAACGAGCCGCGCAATATATAGCCAAAATACCGCCTCGTAAACTGTGCAACCGAACAGGTTTCCGTTACGTTACTACTGTTTAAAGCTGAGCTTCTAGTTTCCATCGAACTTATCGTGGACTTATTTATTTGAAACTTTTATTCATTTATGTGCATTATTCGACAATCTACAAAAAAACCTAATTTAACATGTTTGTCAAGTTTTTGTAAGAGCTATTGGTACAGACAGTCCTCTAAATTAGACCGAAGAAGTGTTGAAGCAACAAGCCAGGGAATAAACGAAGAAAAAAGCCAAGAGCGCATCAATTAAGTTATTTTTTATATATCATACATAAGACTGTTTGAATATAATACAAAGGGCATTTTCATATACACAGCAAAGTCTTGACTAGATCTTACAATCTGTGGACACTTAACCTTTCCCCATGCTGTTCAATTATATAGTGCATGTTGCATGAAAAGTGTCAAGAAAATCTGAAAAGGAAAAAAAAAAAAGGCTGAAGAATGTTGAATTAAAATCCACGATCTTGTGGATCAGTGACATTTACCAGCAATTCATCTAAGAGAAAGAGGGAAACAGACAGCAAACCATGAGCATTAGAAAAAGTGTGGACATACATGCGTCATACCCTGTGAAAAGATTCTTTCGGTAGGCTACACGTTATAAGCCCTACCTTTAATGTTGTCCTGTTGATGTCAAATGCCTCTGGCTAAAAGCAATTTTGGTCCAATGACCAAGACAGGCAAGAAGGGTTTAAAAAATAAAATGCTAAGCAAACACATGGCAATGTAATTGACATACCAGCATGAGCAATGTAGTGAGTTCTATACTTCCTTTATTTAAAAAAATATAAATATATACATAAATTCTATTTCAACTATTAAAAAGGGGCTGCATTTCATGAAAACGGCACTAAATCAGGTCCTATTTAGTAACAGCGGAAACAGGTGCACTCTTTAAAAGTTTCTGTAATTTTTAGATTTTTTGGAATGTTTGTGTCAACTTCAGCAAACTGCACTCTGCACAACTTTTTTTTTTTATTACCACTAGCTGTTGTGAGATTTGTAAATATACCAAACATGATTCCGGCTGAAAGTGATCTCTTTGTGAAAGGAAAATCTGCAAATGTGAACGCCACACACTTTCTGGCAGGATAGTGTCCCACTGTCTGTAAAAACTGCTAGATCGAGAGCAGCAGCAAACAGGGATCCTTTGAAGAATTTAGATCTAAAGTGAGAAGCTAGGTGGTGGTGGGGGGCTCACAACCTCAGATATAAAAATCAGAGTGAGCAAAGCTATCCTTAACATGACTAAATAGTGACTATAAACACTTATCCTCTTCAGAAGAACATGCATGTGCCCAGTGTTTGTGTGGCAGCACGTCACCTCTAGTTTCCCTTTGAATAGTACATCTGATGCAAGCATCCAACCAATCACTTGATAACAAATTCAACTCCGACTCAGAGGTCACAGTAGCTACAGTAGACTGCCTGAATAAATAAATTTAAGTAGCCACTTAGATTTAAAAAGGTAGAAATTAGCATGTTCATCAAATTATTAGGTATAAAAGGCAGCATCACTGACTGATAGACCAGGTAAATACAAAACAAAACACTTTTATCTCCTCAGAATCATTTGTGATCTCTCAGCCACTCTGTAGCCTGCAGAGTAACCGTCAGTGTCCCTTCCCTCCCCTTGACAGGAAAAACAAATGAAAAATGTAACAAATCGGGGAGGTTTATCCATATATTAAACCAATTTCAGTATTTTGTTAACATTAAAACATGAAGTTCAGCAAAAGTTCCAGTTTGAGAGAGAGTATACAGACTAAAATGAACTTTGATGAACCTTGGGCTGAAGTGGTGAACTGCTACATTATTTCTTACAGACACCTAGTGCTATAAAAAACAACTGCTTTGGTATATCAAAAAAAAAAAGGAAAGCCGGCAATAAAGAAGAATAAGTAATTTGTGTAAAATTCACAGCATAATTCAAGAGGAGAAAAAAGGCAGTCACATAAATCTCATTACATATCTTCTGTGTTCAACACAAAGAGGCAAATTTACGCAGATGTTTTTTCTCTGGTCCTACGATTCCAGGCCATACTACTGGTGGATGATAAGGCTGTCTCGCCTGTACAAACAAGGAAAAACATTGTTCAGTCATGAAGGCCAAACTTTGATTTGTTTTAATTACTTGACAAGATCAACCAGGTGGGCTCACCTGAGGGCAAAGGTTGTCACAGTCTATGGCTGGCATGGCTATGCCAAAATGCCCGCTGCTGTGCCGATGGTGATGAGTTGGATCGGATCTTGCTCTGCCACTGGTGCTTGTTCCAGACGATCCTCCTGAAGCAGAGCAAAAGAACTGCATTAAGCTTTACCCAGAAACACTACTATCAAGCCAGTTACATTCAAGAGCTTAGAGACCAGAACAGATTCAACTGTAGTAAAACCTGAGCTTGAGGATGTACTAGAAGTGGTCCCTGATGACTGTGACTGCTCAAGTGCAGGACTTGTTGACACACTACTGCTTGTATTGGTTCCTTCATCCGTGGTCTTCTTGAAGAAACTGTGCTGGAGGGCATAGTAGGGCTGAATTCGCGTCTTGGGGTCGTAGTCCAGCATTCTGAGAATGAGGTCCTTGAACTTCAAGTAGTCAGCTACTGCGTGTCCGGATTCTCCCGCCCGACGACCGCCTGGTCCACCACATTCCACTCCCAAGATGACATGGAGCTTTCGAGACGCTGGAGGTTTGTACTGCTCACAGAAAAACAGAAAGATGTTCTAGCACAACAACAAGCAGCATTCCCACAAAAGCTGTATAAAAACAAAATTCACACGGCAGTGATTCTGCTTTAAAATATCAATGACACATACCCTTTTTCCATCTTTGGTCTTCTTAATACTCCATGTCCCATCTGACAACTTCTCAAAGAACTTCCTGGCTTTTGGTGCTAGGTCCATAATGTGATTGGGTGGGATCCCAAGTACTTCAACAACTTTGTTCATTTGGTCCACCTTTCATTTAAAGAATAAGTTTGTTTTACAGACTGTATTTTTTCTATAACAGTCATTTTTAGTTATGTAGAATCTGACTCCTGTATTCTGTACACACATTAAACAATAACTTAGGGCAGGGGTTTTCAAACTGGGGTCCTTGACCCATAACCAGGGGGTCTGCAAAATTATTTGCTATACTGTATTTTCCAGACTACAAGTCACATTTTTTATCATCTGAAACATGGTATAATTTATATTCTAAAGTGACTTATATAATGCATTTAATTTGTTTACAATATGCAAAATGTAAACACTTCAGGGATGCAAACCCATCATGGGTGAAAAAGGTGACAAAGATGAGTTCCCCCCCATCCCCCAAAATAAAGCCCTACATTTTTTAAACACTTATAATAATTTAAAGCCTTTATTATTTTTTTTAACTTTGCCAAAATTCACTTTAAATGTTTACTTTCATTCATGAAGAAGACAGGGAGAAAAAAATAGCATGAGTGCCCACTTCTGGCGGAACCCTTGGAATGGGCTGAACTGGAACGTCCTAAGCCCTTGATCACTTAGAATCAGCTATGGAGTTGGTTTATTGTTTACATTTTTTCCCTTATGAATTTGTTTGGTGCAGCATTCTATATGTATATAGGTATGTTTGGGCTGTTATAAATGTTTAAAAAATCATTCATATATTATAGAGTTGTTTGGGGTGGGGATAAATTAAACGCGATCTGCAATTACGTCACAATCGTGTTGCATTGTGGTCTATGGAGCGGCCTGAAGTGTGCATATGAAGCAGACTCGCTCCCTCGGTCAAAATCGAGGGGTTGAGGGTCTGTCCATATAAACTTCCCTCGTCCACTTCACGAAGTGGAACGCACTTCAAAATGGCAGCGGGGATTCCCCCAAGGGGAAGTGCTTAGGGAAGTTGGCGAGTGCGTGTCTAAAAGTGGAGTGGAACGCAGCCCTGGTGGAAAACAAAGACTTAACATGAAAATGACATGAAATTACCATTATAACCAGTAGATGGCAGCAGAGGATCACTCATTAGCTCAGTTGCCATTTCAACTCCCTTGGTTTTTTTCACGTTGTGCTTTTGGATTTATTATAAAATGGCTATGCAGGAAGTGCAGGAAGTCAAAGTCTCATGTCATTTAAAAATAAATAAATAAATAAGCTCAGACACCAACAGCCTAGTAGGGTTAATTATTTAAATACTTAACTAGTTAACTACAAATTAAGTTATTAATGGTATAATAATTAAATAATGCATTAAATATTTTGCCATTTTTTAGATTTAATTTAAAAACGACATTTTTCAAACATTGCCTAAAAGAGGACACATCAAAAGGAGAACTTTAAGTTATCTTTCCTTGTAGAAGCTGTTGAAGCCAACACAGACTTGTTGCTGCTGTAGTTTTGTTACTCTGATTTTACTCTGCATCACTTAAAGCACAGCTCTGTTGTTTTGACATTGGCTCGTCAGATAGTTCGTTCCATCCATTGCTACAGGTATCTCCGTCAATCGCGGATCAATTTGGCGGATTCACTCGCGTAATTTTTTTAACTCGCGTTTGTCATTCCTGAAACAGTATACGTGGACGGTACTCTTAGAGAAAATGAGCAAAGGGCGATTCACTTATGGTGCAACTGACCGAGCTTACTCACGCGGAAACTCCTGATATAATCAATAACTAACTACACAATGAATATCGTATTTACATCGGGTATGATTTCTTTTTATCTTGTTATAAAAGGAAGAGCGTGTAGAACTGTGTAAACAATAATTAGATCAGAGCGGATTCTGACTAACTTACAGTAAACACCTCTGATTGGCCACTGCTTTCAACAGAGATGCCTGTGACTATTGTGGCTACAATACTCAACGCTGCAAAATACAATGTAAATAGAAACTTTTGGTTTTGTAATTTGAAACCAGAGCACGCACACAAAAACACAGGAGCGTTTGAAAGCGGGTGACTTCGAGCAGGTACAGAATTGAGTTGGTACTACTGGCACTGTAAAAAGACCCGATATCTTTCCGCTGATATAAAGGAAGTGTTAGTGTCGGCGCCTCACGCGCACACACAACATATCAATTCTAGCATTGATAACTTGACATTGCAGCCTCTTCATCAAACTAAATAAGACAACCAAACATACAAAAGGTATTTGGTTACTCAATTTAGTCTGTTGTACAATATGTAGGTTGTACCGATCAGCGTGAGATCGCCATGCTGTGGTGTTTTTCTAAACACATTTTTGCGTATGTGAATGATGCGGTTTTAGGTGGAAATTGGGATACGAGAGAAGTACAAAGCCTTCTTTACATATCAAATAATAATTTAGCAACCAAATGTTACATGCAACGATTTATTCATGGAAATGGCCGAATTAGCAATTTATACCAATTAAAGGGGTCATATGATGCTGCTAAAAATAACATTATTTTGTGTATTTGGTGTAATGAAATGTGTTTATGTGGTTTAAGGTTCAAAAAACACATTATTTTCCACATACTGTACATTATTGTTTCTCCTCTATGCCCCGCCTTTCTGAAACGCGTCGATTTTTACAAAGCTCAACAGTCTGAAAAGCGAGGTGTGCTCTGATTGGCCAGCTATCCAGTGCGTTGTGATTGGCCGAATACCTCAAGCGTGAGAAGTAGTTTCGCTTTCACAACGAAAAAGTATTTCGTTTTATTACGAAAAAAAAAGCCTTGAGTGAGCGGAGGCCGGAGGCCTAGAGTGAGCTGTGTCCTAGAGTATGCGGAGGCCGGCTTGAGTGAGCAGAAGCGGGCGGGCTTGAGAACGGCGCGGCCGGCGGATTGGACAAAGGATTATGCAAATTTTCCCACATCGTGACGTAGACATGTGGGGGTGTGTTAGAACGAGCCGTTTTAGGTAGGCGTGGTTGACTCTTAACTTTTATAAGGAATATCTCTTTGGATTTGAGACTTTAGTCTTTGCAACTTTACAGATCTTCTTTATGCACCAAGAGCTTGTAACACTCCAAAGAGAAAGGAAAAATTGAAATCGCATCATATGACCCCTTTAAACAATCATATTATGTTTATTACTCACAACTTAAGCCTTAAACACGGTTATAATTATGCAGGGGTCCTTGAAAAATTTTCTCCCCTGTAAGGGGTCCCTGGCTCCAAAATGTTTCAAAACCCCTGACTTAGGGGATTTATTCCCACATTTAAATGTAGTTATCACTCCTAAAACTTTGTATTCATGGTGTTTAAGGATACAGGAAACAAAGAGTATATTAGTTCTAATTAGTGGTCGACCGATATATCGGCCGATATTTGGCATTTTTCAAATATCGGCATCGGCCGTTAAGTTTTTCTGTTTGCCGATGCGTTCGAGGCGGGACTTTTATTTTGACGGCACTGAGAGCGGCAGCGCCTGAGCACACAGTGCTCACATTCTCCCTCGTTCGCCGTCGTCATTAACAGTTCTGTCTAATCCGGATAGAAGTCTGTCTAATAATCCAATAGAACTGTTAAACAAAGGAATTAAAATGTATACAAAAAGTATTATAACGATTGCTTTTATATTATTAGTAATAGAAAGGCAAACATTATAATACTTTCTC